ATGGGAAAAGGGAGCAGAGATTACCAGAGTGGATAAAGGTCTCGGATTCACGGACAGGGCTGGTCTTAGATCTAAGTCTTTGACCATTGCTCTGAAGAACTGGTGTTCACACTGAGACCATGCTGGTGGTAACCCCTTGTCATCTACACCTAGAAATGTGACTGCTTGGGAAGCAGGAATTAACAGGGTGCAGGTGAGGTTGCCCATAGCCACAACATCAGAAGGTGAAGATGTAATTAAATCTGCAGAGAGAGCCTTAAGCCTGTCATGTCTCTCCTTGACAGAGCTGAACAACCAGCATGGTGTCAGAGACCAAGTCTGATTACTTGGTAGAGTCTTTCAGGCTACCCTTTAACCCATTCCATTCTTCATTTATTAAAGGGTTCAGTTGGAATGAGCCAGGCCTAAAGATTTCCCTTTGAAGAAGAGAGATACAATCCTGGTAAGATTTTTCTAGGTCTATGTAACTCTGCTTGTTGAGGCTGAACTGTCTCCATCCACTTGTTGTTGGTATTTCCAGAAATGATGAAATTCTTTTTTTTTTCTCGTGTAGAAATTTGACTGTTTGTCTGTGGTCTTATGTTGGAATTTGAAAGTGAGATGTTTCAGCTGTTTTTCATTTCTCTAGGTCGCTTTTTCATTGCAGTCATTTTCCTCATCAGGTGGTAAAATCCTTCATCAATGATCCAACTTTGCTTAATAAAATGTCTGTGCAATAACATTGCCAGTGCCTTACATATGTATTTTATTGTTTTCAAAACATTTTGGCATATATTATCTCATGATATCCCCAGCTTTTATTGCTTTCCTCCTGAGTGTTCTGTATTCACTCACAATTTTCACCAATTTGAATACTTTTCTTTCTTTCTTAGCTATGGTGAGGGTACTGTGTGAAGATTACTTTTTTCCTTCATTTTGCATTTTCTCCAGAAGCTGTCAGTAGAAAAGGACTTTTTAAAGAGAATAATAAAAGCTTTTATAAATGATACTGTTTTCTGATGGCAAGCTAAAGATAAAAATTATGTTTCAGTTCCTTGAGTTCGTGCTACCAGGAGGAGAACTATACAAATGAAGACATCTATCCCTCTTCCCTTTTTAAAATCAGTGTAACATCTCTGAGAATGAAAAGAAAGTGTGCAAGATAGAGCAGTATAATAGTTGGGTTTTTACTTTTGTTTGATTAGAAATTTTGTATTGATCTACATTCCCCAATGGAGAAATTATAGCTTTTTTTCTTGTAATGAAATGGTAGTGTAGATATAATATCTGTTATGAAATAGTGAGTTGAGTTAAAACTATAAGGTGGTTCTGTATCTTGGTCTGTAAAGTATTTCTTTAGAGAATTTTAGGGTTTCTTTTATTTTGCTAGGAAGCTCGAGAGGGGGCTCTGGTGGCCTAGTGGGTAAGGAGTTGCACTGCCAACACAAAAGCAGATGGATCAAGTCCAGCAGTTGCTTTACAGGAGAAAGATGTGCAGTCTCCTTTCATGTGATTTATAGCCTCTAAAAACCCACTGCAGGGTCAGGTATAAGTCAGTTTAGACACAGTGGCACTTAAAAGCAACAACAGGGAACTCTGGTGGTGTAGTCCTTAGGGACTTGTGTTGTTAACCCAAAGACTATGTCTCTCGTGCAGTGTGAATCCACCACTGGCTTTGAGAGAGAAAGATGATTAATCTTCTCCCATGTGATTAGCTTCAGAAACCTAATGGAGGATCCATTGAGTCAGCTCTGGCTAAATGGCAGTGAGTGATGGGAAAAGAGAGGGAGTTCTGGTGGCAAAATGGGTATGAGGTTGTGCTGCTAACACAAAGGTCATACCCTTCTCTGGCAGTTCAAATTCACCAGCTGCACCATGGGAGAAAGATAATATCCTCCCATGTGATTAACAGCTTTGGAAACCCACAGGAGGGTAAGCTATGAGTTGATGCCACAGTAATGAGGGTGAGATAAAATCTGCAGATAAGAAGTTGCAATGCAGAGTTTAACAGGAGCGCAATCAATAAATGTTGGAGAGGATGTAGAGAGATAGGAACTCTCATACACTGTTGGTGGAATTGTAAAATGGTACAACCACTCTGGAAGGCAGTTTGACATTTCCTCAAAAAGCTGAATATAGACATTCCATACGACCTAACTATTCCACTACTTTGAATATACCCCAAAGAAATTAAAACAGAGGCACATACACTAATGTTCATAGCAGCTTTATTCACAATTGCAAGAGCATAGAAACAGCCCAAATGTCCAGCCACAATGGAGCAGATTGAGAAGTTATGGTAAATTCACATGATGGAATACTGTGCAGCACTCAGGAGCAACAATTTCAAAAATTACTGCATTATCTTGGGAGAGACTGTAGAGCATTATGCTGAGTGAACTAACTCAGTCTTATAAGGACAAATACTGCATAAGACAATTATTGTAGAATAGAAAGATATCTAGTAAAATGTGTATGAAGATACAAGGTGGGAATTGGGGGGGCCGAGGGGTGAGGATGAGCTGGGGGAAAATTACAGGGTCACACCATTTGGGTGGCAGGGGAGTGAAAAGGAAATGGGAAAGATCCTGTGGGAATATGGAAGGACAGAGTAATGATGAGCACAGTTCAGTGGTAATTAATTTTATAAAGCATAATTAATGAAAATGATTGTATAAAACACAATGTGAATGAATGATAGTTTTAAATAGAATGTATATGAAATTTGTAAGTAAACCAATATAAAATATATATATTTTTTTTTTAAAAAGAAGCCCTGATGGCTTACTAAGTTAAATACTAGGATGCTAATCAAAATGCTGGCAGTTCAAACCCACTAACCTCTTTGCAGGAGAAAGATGAGGTAATATTCTTCCATTAAGAGTTGTATGTTCTTGTTAAGTACCATCAAGTTGGAACCAACTCAGAGCTGATCCTCCAATGGATTTCCAAAGGCAGTAAATCTTTCTTCTGTGGAACATTTGGTGGATTCAAACCACATGCCTTTGTGTTAGGAGGGCAACTCCTTACCAATAGACTACCAGACCTCCCTTGGAAACCCAATAGAGGGTCACTATTAATTTGGATCGACTCAGTTGTTATGGGTTTTGGGGTTCAAGTGCTCAAGTACTAGCTTAAAAGTTAATGTTTTGAACACACCCAGATGCGCCTCTGAAGACAGGCCTAGTGATTTACATCCCAAAATTCACAGCTCTGCACATTCCATGGGGAGGTTCTATCCTGCACACTTATAATTGCCATAAATTGAAATTGACTCAGTAACAACAAATAATCACTGCAAAGGAGGCCAAGTAACTCCATGAATGCACTTCTCACTGCCCTACCCATCCTATTTCCTATCTCAGTCATTCCATCTCAAATGATGGACGCATCGTAGATAACTACAGCCCATAGAAGTGCACGGTTGAATGAAGTCAGGCAGACTGCTGTGAGCCCACCTGATCTTTGAAGGCCTTTGAACCATCCTTAAGTGGTCAATGAACCTAGGACCATTCAGTCCTCAGGAAGTGGAAAAAATTTCTCTTTTGTTGGACCTAAATCTACTTCCCTGCAATTTATGTTCACCTCAGCAAATATCAAGTGTGTACCAGCAGTCAGGAAATAAAAAGATGAATTACACTGGGAAAATCTACTTCAAGGACCTCTCCAAAATATTAAAGCAACAATATCAGTCTAGAGATTAAGGTGAACCCAATCCAGGTCAAGCTCTTTGCAATTACTTGCTACACATCAGAGAGCTGGACAATGACTAAGGGTGACAGAAAAAAGGTGCTTTTGAGTTGTGGTGCCGGAGCATTGAATATACCCTGTACTACCAAGAGACCAAACAGGTCTGTCCTGGACAGGGTAAAACTATGGTGCTCCTTGAAAGCAAGGATTTTGAAGCTCTGTCTCACATACGTTGGGCATGTGGCCAGGAGGGACCATACTTGGAGGAGGATATCATGCTTGAAAGGGTGGAGGGACAGTACAGGAGAGGAAGACCCTGGATGAGATGGATTGACTCAGTGACTGGGGTGTTGGGGTAGGTATGTCGGAGGCAGTGAGATTGGCTCAGGATAGGACAGGGTTCAGATCTATTGTGCATGGGTTGCTGTGAGTCACAGTTGACTCTATGGCACATAACAATAACCATGCACCAGATACTGTTCTTGATACTGAGGATAAAACAGTGGACAGAAGTGAGACAATAATGCCCTTCTGCATGGAAATCACTCAAATAATCAGAGAATATGTTCCCTTTCTTTGTGGCTTAACTTCAAGCTAAGAATCTTAGGTCACCCAGCTTAATATCAATTCAATTCCTTTCACTACATGGGTCATTTATTTTTGTACTCTAGTTTTGTTTATGAATAAATTTCTTTTCATTAACTGAATTTAAATTTTTGTTGTTACAAAGTTAATTTGGGTTTAAATGAAAATAAGTAGAAAAATATAAAAAAGGAATCACCTATAATGCTTTATCACTATTAAATGGTATATTTCCTCCTAGTCTTCTCTAATGTGTATCATAGATGGTTGAGATCATAATGCATTATTTATAATTTTGTATTCCTTTTTCCACTTAATTTTACATTTTTTGCATTTATTAGAAAATGTTTATTTAAACAATCTCGATGGCCATATAATATCCAGTTAGATAGATTATTTTGATTTTCAGATTGAGATTCTTTAGTGAACTACACTATTTCCTTTCCAACCTCCTCGTCTGAACCTTGAATTGACACTAGTATTTCATGGAAGGAAAGTGCTGGGCTGTGTTACCTCCCATGGATTCTTCTAACTCTCACTATTCTTAACATGCTAGTTCTTTTTTCTGTTCAAACCTTTGTTTCCTCATAATCATGTGTAACCCATTTGTTTGGAGTATGGTATTCTTGTTACAACAGGCTGTCCATGTGGCCATTTTCAAAGCTATCTTCCTGCTAGCCAAGGTCTTGAGGAGTCTGTTGGATGAAGCTGTGGCAAACACAGAGCTCATTTTTGCCCTTTGGTTGCAGGTTTGCAGCTCAACCAGAAGACACTCACCACTTTCCCAGATGTGGTGCTTGTACGCGTGTCCACACCCTCCGTGCAATCCGACAGTGACATCACTGTCTTGCGACACCTGGAGAAGCTGGGCTGCCGCTTAGTCAACCGCCCACAGAGCATCTTAAACTGCATCAACAAGTTCTGGACATTCCAAGAGCTGGCTGGACATGGGGTCCCCATGCCAGATACATTCTCCTATGGTGAGTTTCATTAAATTAAAGTTGGAACTTCTCTTTCCCAACCTTGAGATGACTCAACATCTTAAATGTTGACTGGCCATTCCCTCTGTCTGAAATGCTTCTGGTTCTTTCTTTAATAATACATGGAATACATTTTCCTCAGGTGCACATGGTGTGTCAGCTACTACACTAGGTATTCTTCACCAGATGGAGAAAACAATGAGTAAACAGGCAGTTTCCATGAGTGTGGTCAGGATGGTAAGACTGCCTCACATACTTTGGACATATTGTTCAGGGAGGCCAGTCCCTGAAAAAGGACATCATTCTTGGACAGGGAGGGTCAGAGAAGGAGAGGAAGACCCTCAGGCAGATGGATTGATACAGTGACTGCAGCAGTGGACTTACACAGAGATTGTGACGATGCTCCAGGATTTTTATTTTTTGTCTATATGGTTGGTATGTGTCAGCACTGACTTGAAGCAAATGCCATGGGAAGAGGTAGTGCAAGGTGGTACAGGAATGCAAGGGAGAGTCCATAATGCAGTTTAGAAAACTTTGAGAATGGCTTCCAGAAAGAAATAACATCATTTAAAAAAAATTATTTTATCTGAGTTTAAGTTTACAGATCATATTGAGATCATATTAAATCATTCATAAACATTTTGTTTTATAACATTAATTATACTTGACTAATAAAATTAATTCACCAGCTGCTCTGCAGGAAAAAAAATGGGCAGCCAGTTCTCATGCAGTTTACTGCCTCTGAAAATCTTCTGGAGGGTCAGCTATGGGTCGGTTCTTACTCAACAGCATACAGCAACAACGACGACGTAATTAATAGGGAGCTCTGGTGGCCTAGTGCTAAGAAGCTGCACTGCGATCCCAAAGACACGTGGTGCAAATGCACCAACTGCTCATGGGAAAAAGATGGACAGTCACCTCTCTTGTAATTTACTGCCTCTGACAACCCACTGGAGGGGCAGCTATGGGTTAGTTGCACCTTGACAGCACACAACCACGTCATTATTGGATAAGCCAGATTATCCATATTTTCCTCTTCATATCTTTTTTTTTCTGTTTTCATTTCATTCAGGTTTTTTTGTATATTTTTAGCACTTTTGTGAACAAAACAGGCCCTATTAGTCTTCCAGCAAAAATTAGTGAACTATTATCCTACCTGTTGTTATCAGAGTAATGGGTCTCCAAAGATACTCACCCTCTAATATCTGTTATGATGGTGATGGGCCATAGAGTCAGAACTGACCCATAGCTGACCCTCCAGCAAGTTTTCAAAGGCAGTAAATCACACAGGAGGAAGTGATTGCCCATCTTTCTTCTGCAGAGCAGCTGGTGGATTTGAACCACGTGCCTTTGATATTGCAACACAGCTTCTTACCACTAGGCCACCAAAGCTCTCTAATATTTAGAATCTGCAAATATGTTTGTTTATATGGCAAGAGGAGATTAAGATTCTAGATGAAATAAGTTGCAAATCAGTTTACCTGGAAGTAGAAAGATTATATTAGGTTATCCGATTAAATGATTTGATTAACTGAGGATTCTTAAAATTGGAAGATAGAGGAAGCAAAGAGTCAGAGGATGATTAAGACTATGGAAGGTCAGAGTGGTGCCATGTGAGAAGGATCAATTTGCTATTCCTATTTTTAAAGATAGAGGAAGGGGACCATGAGCCAAGGAATACAGGTGGCCCCTAGGAGTTGCACTAGGTAAAAGAACAGTCTCCAGAAGGAAATCCAGTTCTGCTGAAACCTTGATTTTTGCCCAGTGAGAACTGTATCAGAACTTCTAACCTACAGAATTGTGAGATAATAAATCCCTACTGTTTTAAGCCACCACATTGATGGCAATTTGTTTTAGCAGCAATAAACAAGTAAATGTATAAAGCTCATCTATCGAGCACATTTACAAGATCTAGAAAGTAGGCCCAAAGAACCTCTGAACAACTCAAATAATGTGTGAACTCTTCAGCCAGCACCAAGCCTCATTCCCCAAAGGATAGGAGAGCCCTCACACTCTTGTCTGGAATCCTGCTATGTTTGTGCTAGCAAATCAAGGGTAGTTTGTCATTTTAAGCCAGAGCAGAAAAAGTTCCTGCCTCATACTAACAGCAGTGAGAAGTTAACATTGACATATTGGCATATTTACAACAAGGAAGATGACAAATTGTAAAAACCAGGTCTGCGAACAAAAAAAAAAAAAAAAAAAGCTCACTAGTTTGACAAATCATAAAATCCAGGTTCATGAGCCAAAAACCACACTAGTCTGACTTCATTAAATGAAGACCAAATATAGGGTTTAAGGATATTAGTTTTCATAACTTTAACCCTAAATTACCAAGAAAAGGTTCTAGTCAACATAATAGGTTTAGGAAATCAAAGAAGTTTGTAAATTAATTTAGAAAAAAGTTCACACGTATTGTTTATAATCCCTCCCCCTCCCCCATTAAGGCGTAAAGATATACATTTGCACCATTTCAAGCTTTAAAGTCATACTTTAATTTTGGATGATTTAAACCCCAGGCTTGGTGTCTTTGGGTATTAATTTTCTATTGCTATGTCGCCAGTTATCACAAACTTCTAAAAAATTTAAACTCATTGCCATCTCAGCTGATCTCAGGGGGTTTTCTGAGGCTTGACATCACACAAGAAGAGATTGCCTATCTTTTCCCCTCAGAGATATTGGTAGATTCAGACTGCTAAAGAGTTCAGACTGCTAAAGAGATGCCACCTTCGGGTTTAGCATTACACCATCCTATGGTCTAGAGCTCCCTACCACAAACTTAGTGGTTTAAAACAACACCCTTTTAGTTTCTATAGGTCAGAAGCTCAGCCATGCCATGTTGTTGTTATGTGCCATCGAGTCAACTACGACTCATAGCAACCCTATGCACAGGAGTAGCTCTGAATCCTGCTCTATCCTGAGTCCATCTCTGACACACCTACCCTTAGTATAAATCCCAGTTATTATGTCAATCAATCTTATCTGGAATCTTCCTCTCCTGCACTGACCCTCAACCCTTTCAAGCATGATATCCTTCTCCAAAGATTGACCCCTTCTGGCTATGTGCCCAGAGTGTGTGAAATGGAGTCTCAAAATCCTTGCCTCCAAGAAACAGCATGATTTTACCCTCTCCAGGATATACCTGTTAGTTTTCTTGGTGGTCCCTAGTATGTGCAAGACTCTTCTCCAGCAACACAACTCAAAGATTTCAATTCTTCTTCTGTCATTCTTGGTCATTGTTCAGCTCTCTAATGTATATCAAGTAATTGTGAAGACCATGGCCTGATCAGGTGCACTTTAGTCTCTAGACTGACATCATTGCCTTTCAGAACTCTGGAGAGGTCCCTGACAGCAGATTTACCTAATGCACGTCATCTTTTGATTTCCTGACTGCTGGTGCCAAGAGTGTTGATTGTGGAACTGAGCAAGCTGAAATTGTTGACAATCTCAATCTCTTCTCCATCTGTCATGATGCTGCCAATGGGCCCAGTGGTGAGAGCTGAGTGATTTCTCTGTTTAGACCTCAAAAAGGCTGATACCAAGGTGTTGGCTGGGGCTGCAGTCTCATATAAGACTTGAAATCAGTCTTCTTTCAAGATCACCAGATTCAGTCCTAGTAGTTATAGGACTGAGATCCCCATTGCCTTGTTGATTGTCATATCCAGACCAGTCCTGGCTCCTAGAAGCTACCCACCATTCTCTCCTGCATGGCCCACGACCGCTTGCTTCTTCAAGACCAGCATAAATCTTTCTGAAGCATCACCTTCTAAAAGACTCAATTAAATCAGGCTCACCCAGGAAAATCTCTCAAAATCAATCTGATTAACATCCTAGTCATGAGAATACTATCCCATCATAATCACTGGTTTTCCCCTCATTCAAAGGGAGTGAATTAGATATACCAGAGTACAATGGTTAAGTACTCAGTTGCTAATTGAAAGGTTGGCAGTTTGAACTGACTCACCGTTCCTTAGGGTGGAAAAAAAAATAGCAGTCTGCTTCCATAGATTAGTCTTGGGAATCCTATTGCAGTTTTGCTTTGCACTTTAGGGTTGCTGTGAGTTAGAATCCATTTGTCAGCAGTGGTGTACCCCAGGAGGCAAGCAGTTGGAAAAGAATACTGAATATCTCATGGACTTCCAAAAGAACAAGCAGGGTCTCAGAGAAATTGCAGCCAGAATGTTCCTTGGAGGCAAAGATGACAAAGCTTTGTCTCACATACTCAGGGCATGTTGTTAGGACAGGCTATTCTTTGGAAAGGTGGAAGGACGGTGAAGGAGAGAAAGACCCTAAACCAGATGGATTGACGCAATTGCTGCTGCCGTGAGTTCAAGTATGTCAGAGATGATGAGGATGGCACAAGGCAGGACAAGGTTCAGACTATGGGTTATGTTCAACATGATGACACCGAATAACAACAATAGTCATTACATTACATTACATATGTAGTCACCAAGACCGTAAATATGTCTTGGAGAAAGTACAGCTAGAATGCTCTTTGAAGGCAGGGATGGTGAAGATTCACCTCACATATTTTGGGCATGTTAGGAAGGTCTAGTCCTTGGAAAAAGACATCGTTCTTGGAATGGTAGAGGGTCAGTGATAGAGAGGAAGACCCTCAACAAGATGGGTTGACATGGTAACTGTAACAATGGGCTCAAGAATATCAGAGATGATGAGGATGGCACAGGACAGAGCAGAGTTTCAGATCTGTTGTTCATAGGGTTACTGTGAGGCATAGTTGATTTGATGGCACTTAACAACAAGGTAGTCATTAAAATGTGAAAAAACTGAATTTTTCCTGTCATTGACTTTTCATGGGCATTACGTGAACTATTTGTGAAACCTTTTGCATGGGAGATACTTGATATATATTTCTTTATCTTTCTGACCCAAACTTTTCCACTATAGGTGTGTAATATGTATGTGTTAATGCTAAATTAGTTTAGATTACTTTAATTAGAGACATGAAGCCTTTTAAGAATTTCCATAAAGGATGCACACCAATGTTTATCCTGGCTTTGTTCACAATAGCAAGGAGTTGGAAACAACCTACATGCCCATCTACAAACGAATGGATAGAGAAGCTGTGGTATATTCACACAATGGAATACTATACTGCATTGAAAAACACGGAACTCATGCAATATTATTCAAAATGGGTGACCCTGGAGGACATTATGCTGAGTGAAGTATCTCAGTCACAAAAGGACAAGTACTCCATGGTGCCACTATTGTAAAACAGGACTGACCTCAGGGTTGGGGAGAGACTGAGAAAGATGGGTTCAATAATGTATACTGCATTGAAACAGATAAGGGAGAAAACTGTTTAAAAGGGATTTAAAAAGGATTAGATATTTTTGTCATGACGAGAGTCCAGAGCGAAGGCTGCATAATGGAGTGGACCTGGGGGAGGGTTCGCAAAAAAGTGAGAGAATTTTTCTTTTGCCTTTCCAAGAGGGTAGTGTACTAGGGGGAATGGTTGGAAGGGGAGAAAAGTGCAACAACGAATGAATGGAAACCCAAAGACTCTGTAAATTTTCATTGAAATGAATAATAAATTTTTTTTAAAAAAGGACTTTCCATAGAGGGGGTAATGCTGAGCTGTACACATCATCAGCTTTACCATCAGTGACCTTCACCTTTTCTTGGCAGGTGGGCATGAAGACTTCTCAAAGATGATCGATGAAGCTGAGCCCCTGGGTTACCCCGTGGTGGTGAAGAGCACACGGGGACATCGTGGTGAGTGTTGCTGCCCTGGGCTCCCTGGAGTTCTGCCCAGGCAGCACCCTCGTCAGACCAGCGACTCTGCTGCTTGGAGAAAGGGCTCTCGCTCGTCATGAATAACTCCCGGTGAAGTGCTCACCTCTGTACCCCTTAGCCTTGCTTTCTTCAGGCCTTTGTCATCTTTTCCCTGGACTTGTGCAGCCAATTCCTGACTTGAATTTGTAGATCAATTGAGAAATAGTGCCCTTTTAATAATATCCATTCCTCTAATCCACAAAGTTTCTACTTATTCAGGTATTTATGGTTTTGCATAAAACCATGCATTCAATGTGATATTTCAATCTTACATGCTATGAGGGGCTGGTGCTCATCACTCTTTTCATTAAAAAGGTCTCACTCCTTTCACAGTGGTGACACAAAATTCAAGAAAACCATCTCATTACTCCATACTTGCTAGAAAGAACACTCAGTGTAGAACTATTCATTTCATATTTGCAGAGCAAACCTCTCAGCCACCGTGGCTCAGTGCAGTTAACTAATATGCAAATGACAAACAGGTTCTAAATAATTATAAATGCCCAGAAATTAAAGTAAAAAATGAAGAATTTGGAATCAAGAAGGAATACTTCCCCCAGGGATCAATAGATGTATAGGTCATTCCTTTAATAATTAAATGAGTATATACAAAAGAACAAATCTGTCTTGAAAGTACATACAACATTCTCCTTTGTCTCACATGCTTTGGGTATGTTATCAGGATAAGATTTTCAGGGACCAATCACTGGAGAAACAGATAATTTTAGGTAAAGTAGAAGGTCAGCAAAATAGAGGAAGAAGCTCAAGGAGAAGAATTGACAGTGCCTGCAACATGGACCCAAGCATGGCAGCAGTTATGAGGATGGGGCAGAATCAGGCAGGGCTTTATCTCTTTGGAGTTTATTCCATGTCACCTAACAATGGCAGCAAACCCAAACAGGAAATGTCTTCATTCACAAGGAGGAAGGATATCTGTCAGCAGCTCCTTTCTTTGGGCTCCAGGGTATATTGCATAACCCTCTCTTAAAGTGTTGTAATTCCCTTTTTTGGATCATCTCTCCATCAAGACTTGGAATTCTTCTGAAGAATGTTTAATTATTTATGTTCTGTAAACATTGATAGTTGTCCTGTTTTCCAAGCCTAGGGAAAAATGAATTAGAAGTGAACCCTGTCACAATCAGTACGTTGTTGTTATGTGCCATCGAGTCATTTGCGACTCATAGCGACCCTATGTACAAGAGCCTTAAATGCTGTTCTATCCTGTGCCAACCTCGCTGTCTCAAACACGTTCATTCCCCCCACTCCACTCATAGAATCAATCCATCTCATCAAGGGTCTTCCTCTCCTGTGCTGTCCCTCCACTCTCCCAAACATGATGTCCCTCTCCAAGGAACATGCCCAAAGTATGTCAGCTGAAGCTTCAGAATCCTTGACTCCAGGGAACATTCTGGCTTCACCCTCTCCAGGACAAACCTGTTTGTTCCTCTAGCAGTCCATGATATTTTCAACATTCTTCTCCAGCACCACAGCTCAAAGGCATCAATTCTCTTTCTATAATCCCTATTCACTGTCCAAATCCCTGATGCATAGCACGTAATTGCAAAGACTATAGCCTGGATTAGGCACATCTTAGTCTCCAGCCTGACGTCGTTGCCCTTCAGTACTCTTGAAAGGTCCCTCACGGCTGACTTTCCCAATGCAGTTCATCTCCTGATTTCCTGGCTGCTGTTACCAAGAGTGTTGACTGTGGAACCAAGTAAACGAAAACTGTTAACTATCTCAATCTCTTCACCATCCATCCTGATGCTGCCAATTGGCCCAGTGGTGAGAATCTTTGTTTTCTTGATATTGAGCTTCAGTCCATATTGAAGACTGCAATCCTTGACCTTCTGCAGCAAGCGCTTCAGGGCCTCCTCAGAAAAACTGCTGCAAATCAGCATGTGGATCCTAGAAAATCTGTGGTATCTAGCTTTATACTTCTGAAAAATATGGTCTGGGAACTGAGTTGACAGGATAGATCCTTGGGATTTTATTTTGGCTCTGCCTGTGTCTCTAAAATACCATACAGTAGTTCATGTGGAAAACAGAGGTGGTTGAAGGAGGAGGTTAACATTATTAAGAATAGTGGAAAATCAACAGAAAATAGGATTATTGGCCATGTGATATGCGAGAGAAATCTGAAGTGACCAAAGCAAGGCAACTTTGCAAATACTTGAATGTTTTATGGAAGGTAAGGAGGTTATAAGGTAAAATGGCAATGACAAGGTTCAGAAGCTTATCTAAACACTTCTTATTCTTTGTCTTTCTTCTTAAAGGAAAAGCTGTTTTTCTTGCAAGAGATAAGCATCACCTTTCAGACATTTGCCATTTGATCCGCCATGATGTGCCCTACCTATTCCAGAAGTATGTGAAAGAATCACATGGAAAAGATATTCGAGTGGTCGTTGTTGGGGGCCAAGTGATAGGCTCAATGCTTCGCTGCTCCACAGATGGCCGGATGCAAAGCAACTGCTCTCTTGGTACAGTATCAAAGCTCAGAGTTGATACGTTAGTTATAGAAAGCACTGATATTTTTCACTGAGATGTTAAGACCCATTCAGTAAATGTGTACCTACTATCATGGCAGACCCTCTGCTAGGCCTCCTCTTCCAATATTATAGGGAATATTTGCTCAAGCCCTGTTCTATAGCATCAGTGGTCCAGCAGGCAGACAGATGATGTTAGTGCTGTGATGGAAATCAGGCCAGGGGTGTCCACCTGGTGCTTGAACCTTATTTCTTAGGTGCTAGGATTTAGCAGCTGAGTTTAAATCAAGAGGGTAGCATGAAGATCAGTGTTTAAGAAAAGCTGATATCTGGTAGAGAATGTAGTAAAGGCATAAGTTGGGAGGCAGACAAATTCATTTGGAAGCTGTTGCAACAGTCCAGGCAAAAATTTCACCTTCTGTGTTTGAGACTTGGGTTTATGTCCTGACCAATGGACCTCAAATGCAGGCACCACTCACCTGTCAGGGAGGCTTGCTTACATGTAACTATGATGCTGAAAAAATTATCAAGGGAGCTTTCAGACTAAGATGAGCTAGGGAGGAATGTCTGGCAATCTACTGAAAGGAATCAGTCAGTGAAAACTCTACAGAACACAAGTCTGATCCTATTGAGCATGAGATCTCCTTGAGTGAGGAGCTAACTCTGTGGACACTAACAACAGCAGGAACAAACGAAAGCTGTGGTAGGAGAATAGAGCATTCATCTTGTAACTGAAAATTTTGTTTTTATATTCTGAGATATGACAGAGCTGTAGCTTGTTTTGGCTTAATGCATAACTCCATTGTTACCTTATTGATGTTGTTTGTTGTTGTTAGGTGCCATCAAGTTGAGCATGACTCATAGTGACCCTATAAACAAAAGCTCTGAACCCTGTTTTATCCTGCACCATCCTCACACTTCCTGACACACAAAAGTCCATTGCAGCAATATATTCCATGTTCCAAATGTTAAACGATGTTGTTTGTTACTGATTTTCATCATTTCAACTGAGTTTATATCTGGGATCTACCACTACACTACTATACAGGGTTTTCAAAAGCTTGTTATTTAGGAAGTAGATGGCCCATACTGCTTCCTACTCTCTCTTAATCAGGGAGCTCCACCAAAACCTGTCCATTATTAGAAACCCTTTTGACATTTGACACACCAGTAGCACAGATTTCAGTATCACAGCAACCTCAAGTAATCTCAGTACAGCAAACTGACAGACAAGTGCAGCATCACTTAGAACAACATTCTCTCCAAACACTATTAATACCAGGCCCAAGGGCCTGAGGGCCCAACTGACTTTTAAGTACAAAGGTCTACCCATCAGATCCTGTTTGCCTAAAAATATGGAATGCTCCATGAATTTGTATGTCATTCTTGCTCAGGGGCCATGCTAATCTTCTCTCTATTCCAATTTTTAGTATATGTGCTGCTAAAAGGTTAGAAATGGTGTGTAGGAATGGAGGTGTTCTAGGAAGGGGAAAAATTCTTGTCTCTATCACAGAAAGCTGTTGTCAGTCTCCTTAAATTATAATTCTGGTAATAAGAAATGTATGTATACACACACACACAGCCCCCATGAAGATTTTTTTTTCTCCCTAAATGACCAGAAGAATGGTTGTTCTTCTACCATTAGTTCAGTAACTACCAAGAGGCTGAGACACTGATTTGTCCCTTTTCTTGTTGATGTTTATTAAGGAGTTGCCAAGAGCAAAGCCCTAGTAGATTAGATGGGTATAGAGATTTAAAATAAGTCCCTGAGTGATACAAATGTTTAGGTACTAATGAACGGCTAGTAGCTCAGACATGCACAGAAGTGCCTATAAAGGTCTGCTTGGTGACCTGCTTCCAAAAGGTCACACCTTGAGAACCTTGTGAGGTAATTCTTTTCTATCCACATAGCATGACCATTAATAGGGATTGACTCAGCAGCAGCTAACAACAACAACACCAGGAGATTAATTAAAAAGTCCTCCCTCTCAGGTAGAGTATAGTCTAGACAAGAAGATGTATAAACATCACTATAAAACAATTTTATATTATTTAGTGTGATAGAAACAAATGCTAGATTCAGATTGACATAGTACTAAGCACTTAACATGCTACTTCATTTTAAAAATTTCTTTTGAATTATTATTGGCATGAAAATATCTACTGCATACACATTCTCCAGTTCAACAATTTCTGTGAGTTGGAGTCAACTCTATGTCAAGTTAGTGATATGGATCACATTTTTAAAGTTGTGTAAGCATTGGAAACAATTTACCTAACCATAGTTGGTTAAGGTTATATACTCTTCAGTTTATTACAAGATGGTCATGAGACAAAGACAGGACAAGTTTTTCTGGCAATCTGTTATTAAACTTGCTTTCACAATCCTTTCAGACCTGGGGGTTCCCTGTAAAGATTTATCAACTCTGCTGTGGATCAAGACCCTTTGGGTATGAACTGTTGCATTTGGCATCTCTTTGATTGTAGTGAAACAACCTCTGGGAATAGACTGTTAACCTTCATCTGTTAGACTTCAGAGAAAACAAATATCTCCTTTAAAGTATTTAGTTAGGTCATCATCAAGGTTAAAGGGCTGGCTGTTAGATCAGGCAACTTTGAAATTCAACTTGTATTCTATACTCACGTCAAGACTCTAAAACGGAGTGAAGGTCCAACTTTCAGGCTATTCTGTTTACACATACTAAGTGCCTCTTGTTTTAGACATTCACACAGTTGTCACTGTCATGTCATTGTGCTTTCCCCACAGGTGGTGTGGGTGTCATGTGCCCGCTGACAGAACAAGGCAAGCAGTTGGCTATTCAAGTGTCCAATATCCTAGGCATGGACTTCTGTGGCATTGATCTCCTCATCATGGATGATGGCTCTTTTGTGGTGTGTGAGGCAAATGCCAATGTTGGTTTCCTAGCATTCGACCAAGCGTGCAACTTAGATGTGGGTGGGATCATTGCAGACTACACCATGTCCCTGCTGCCAAATAGACAGACTGGGAAGATGGCCCTCCTCCCAGGACTGTCTAGTCCCAGGGAGAAGAAGGAGCCAGATGGCTGTGCTTCAGCTCAGGGAGTTCCAGAGAGTGTCTACACCATCAACAATGGGTCTACCTCTAGTGAGAGCGAGCCTGAACTGGGAGAGATCCGAGATCCCTCAGCAAGCACAATAGGATCACCAACCTCCATGCTGCCAGACTCCAGCTACAACATTAACAACAGGATTGCTTCTGAATTAAAACTTAAGTGAATTCTTGCCTTTTTTCCCCCTTCAGCATTTAAACCAAATTCTACTGCTTCCCTAGTAGTTTTGAGTGAATAAAATATGGACTGAAGAGATTTCATTTGCACAGAAACTAGAAGTCCCATCTGGACACTCAGCATTCTTTCTAACGATGATTCAAGCAAATGGCATAACTGTGTAGTTTTTACGAGGACTATTATAAAAACACTCACCAAAAAACAACATCCCGACTGATGGATTTGAGACAATGTCTGCTGCAAGCTCTTGGATATTGCTGCGACTGACTCTCAGGCACTGATTCTGTGTTGCTGCTTCTGGCTTTTAGTAATGGAGTCCATTAACCTGGAATGGCTCCTGGAAATACCGTGCTCTCAACCACTCAATGGAGGCCTGTGCAGAAGAGGCAGAATGTGACTGAAGTAATTTTCTCTTCAATCCATATGGGGGATGCATAGAGAATTCACAATTCAAACACCGGTAGAGTCTCTGCTCCCCGTCAATCACCATCTTGACCATATTTCTCTGATACTCAGGATATGGTGTTTAGGGAGCTTCCTTATTAGCATTTCCACTTTGTAGAAAGTGAGATTGAATATCAGTGGTTGGCAAATCTCTTACTTTATAAACGGAGCTTTCTACAAATTGCTTTTCCCCTCACTCCTAATTTATAGACCCTGCTTCAACTAATACCAGCTTTAGCAGCTCTTGAACCTTTGCTGCCTTTGGCCTCAGCTGGAAATGCTCTCCAGTGAGCTAGTGGCCACACTTTATTTCTTAAGCGTGCACTAGAATCCAACCCCATGAACTTTCTTTTCAGTGGACTCCTAGAAAGATACTGGAATATCATTGTTCTTTAATTTCGGTTACACCTAAGCTGTAGGAAGTTTTACTGTGTTTAGCGAAAGAGCCATTGAAAACACACTCCAAACCCTTTGACAGTCATTTTATCCAGGTTCCTGAGACCTGTTCTTACCTACTTTCCAAGCAGGGGAGGAGACTCAGGTATCAGGAATTGCTCACTGCACATATTGTGGGGCTAATATAGACATGAAAGCAAGTGGTTTTCATTTTAACTTTTCAAGCGGTAAATTATCATCCATCTCTTTGGGAAATCCATGGAAATGGCATTTTCCATTTCTGCTTATAAGCTTACAAGTCAATGTATGACTGCAAATAAGCAAGGCTACCTTTCTAACCAAATTCACCAAAACATATGCATTCAACAACTACTATAATTAACATTACTTCCTTGGAAGATTATATTCTTGAACTGTGATGTTGCATGTACTCAGAAAATTTAGAGCAGGAGTGGCATCCACTTCCAAAACAACATGCCTCCGGAAACTATGAACTTTGATAAATGTTGATAGTTGTAGAGGGGCTTCAGGCCTTTTGTTCAAAGGGTTGCTATGAGTCATGCTTGACTCGAAGGCAATCAACAACGACAACCTTGGTGTCAGCTCTGAACCCATGCATAGGGAGAAGCCTTGCACGTTATAGACAGATATTGTGCTCTAACGCTTGCTCCCTGTCCCAGTAGTATTCTCAAGCTTCAGTAGCCACTCTGTTGATGACTTCTATTTCCTAATACTCTTTGGCTAAATACAGTTTTACAGTTTCAAAAATTACACCTACCCTTAAAAGACTAAGATTTGCTAACATTAGGAAGTCTTACAAGCAGAAAGTTTCCAAAAAGGGCTCTTCTAGAAATGTTCTGAGTGCAGTTAGCTTCACTGGGATAAACACATGTCTTCCCAAGGCAACTATTTTAGGACAACCACAGTCATTTGGATATATACATTCTTGTACACCATTTCATGATCTTATACGTATTCTGCAAGAAATGTGAAATTTGTATAAATCAAGCTATTATATTTTCCCCACAACACATATAAGTAGAATTTGACCTTTAGAGTTCTGTGGCTGAAACCAGTCTCACCAAATAATAGTTGTACGGCTGAAAAATGTTTAGTACATGTGATGGAGATTCCCGCTACACCACTACACAGTCACAGTTTAAATGCAGTCCAACATAGGGTGCATGTCACTGAACTGTAACTTTAGTAATGTGTCTTGTGCAGTTGAGAAATGATAATACCTTTTACATAGGCTAAGACATGTACCTTATCTGTACCACTTTAGGTGAGCTTCGAATAAGGATAAGTTTGGGTCTGCTCTAATCGGACTTGGCCAGAGGCTTTCTACGTAAACACCAGAACCAAGTGATGACTTTTGGAAGCGGCATTCACTTACTTCCAATGCATAGTGTAAGACCAATACCCCCTCTTTATCTACAAGGATGCTATTGGGGTCCCATCCTGAACAAATAAGCTAGAGAATGCTTCCAGATTCCTTATCCAAAAAGGAGTCTGCTTACCAGCTGCTAGTGACCAATATAGTCCTTGGCACCTGGAGCAGAGAGAACTGATCATAGTCTCTCTTAAAGACTGTACACACTACAATGTAGCTATAGACCTAATGAACCTGAACTGTAATTGTCCCAGCTGGCCACAAGATCTACTGGAAAAGCATAGAGTACTGAATTAGCTAGATACCAGTTCTGTCACTCCCCCTAAATAGCTGATTGACCTAGTATAAATCATGTATAAATCTAGTGGCTCTATTTAGCTATTCTTCAGGCATAGAGTACCAGGATGGTGCCAACGGTCAACATGCTTAGTTGCCAGTCAGAAACTCTACATGTTGTGAATGTGGCACCCAGAGTTACTTCCATAAGAAGTTTTGGTATTCTGCTTTCAAAAATCAGCCAGTGAAACCCCTGTAAAGCACAGTTCTACTCTGACACACTTGGAATTGCCTTGAGTTGGATTTGAGTCAATAGCGATTAGTAACAACTGGCACTTATCTCTTGGGAGTGCTTTAAGGTTGAAGTGTATTTATGAGACTATATCATATGACAGACAATAGCAGAAGACCTACTGCATCTGGTTTTATATTTTTCCTATCACTCCTCCTCTAAGAGAGTTAAGAAAAATGCCATGAAATGTTGGCATAAGCATACTTCGCAGTGGAAGGGGCTCTGAAAAAAAAAGGAATGCAGCTTCTTGGAGGCCTTCCTTCCATCCAAGAAAGCTTAAGACCTGAAAAAAGTAAGACTGTTTATGTGCTCAAATAGCCTCCTGGATATGTCATATAACCTGAAACCCTTGATTACTATGCCAAAAAATGAAGTCTTCCTTATGTAACATAGATTGAAATGTCTAAATGAGATCTCCCATTATCTGAAACTGGTCAAAACTTGAATGCCAATAGCTCACTGTGAATATATAGCTGATTCTGCACTTTGGGGAAAAAATGTCTTCCTGCTATCTGTCCAATGGCTGGGGGCTATGGAATTGCCAGAATGTGGATTTGGGGCTGCAGGACCTGATAAGCAATACAGGCATACCTCGTTTTATTGTGCTTTGCTTTATTGTGCTTTGCAGACTGCCTTTTTCACAAATCCAAAGTTTATGGCAACCCTAAATCAAGAAAGTCTTATCAGCGCCATTTTTCCAACAGCATGTGCTCACTTTGTCTCTGTCATATTTTGTTAATTCTCATAATACTTCAAATCTTTTCATAATGCTATTGCACAATTAACAGACTACACTGTGGTGTAAACATCTTTTATATGCACTGGAAAACAAAAATTTGCGTGATTCACTTTATTACAAAATTCCATTTATTGGGTAGACTGGAGCTGTGTCTGAAATCTCCCTGAAATATCCCACCTGCATAGTAAGACCTGGGGGGAAAGTTAGAATGTGTGCATGGTAGAAACCTAACAGAGAAGGAAAAGATTTTCCACTAACACAAGGAGGAAAACAACAATATTTTCCCTAAAGCAAAAGGAGATCTGGTGGTGTAGGGGTAAGGAGTTGGGTTGCCAACCCGAAAGTTCAAATCCACCAGCTGAAAAATAGGCAGTTTCCTCGCATGTAGTTCACGGTCTGAAAACCTGCCGGAAGTTTCGCAATTAGTCAGTTACAACTCAACAGCACATAGAAACAACAAAACAAGAAATATAAGAGTGGTAAGAATGAACTCTGGAAGTATTTAAAGACGGGAAACTTTCTTCAAGATCCAGAAAAACAAAGCCTATCTGTTGGGTTCAGGCTTTCACAGCCTTCACGGTATAAGTAGACTTTAAACCATTAGTAGCCTACTCACTTCTTCCCATTAAGAGGATTCCCCATGACAACTTAAAGAGAGACAAGGAAAGGAAAAGGTCTGGGATAGTTCTGTGGTGTTTCAGGGAAAGAAGTAAGAAAGTGGGATCATTTGGCATTCTAGTGGGAAGGAAGGAAAAAATGACTCTTCTGTGGATTGCTTCAGGGAAGGAATCATGATTATCTATGGGATTTAAGTCGAGGTGTTTGAGATGATATTGAGATACATGGATTCTCAGTCACCTTGAACACATGGGAGAGGCATGCCTCATTTTTTTTTAAAGTCCTGATGACAGGGAGCTAGGCTAGGAGTTGCAGGATTACAAACTGACCTTTCCAGGAGGGCATGGACCACATTGTCATATTCATGCAAGCATGAAACCATAGCTCTCTGAGACAAGTTTAAGAAGCTAGATTGGAGCCACTCAAGTCATGACAGCTTAGTACTTTCCTCTGCAGCTGGAGGTGGGGCTTCTGTTTGCTGTCAGTCTGTGAAGGTATTTTGGGGAGGGACCCCTGACAATAACCATCTTGATCATTCATGATTGCTGAAGTTAGTGCTCATCACTCTGTAGCTGTAGCCTAAAAGAAAGCATAGTTCTGGTTTTTCACTGTTACTGAGTCCCAAGATCAGTACAAATCATTGCTATAAAAATACATAAGCTGGATGCTCTGCTGGAGAAGGAGGGGCAGTCTCCTCCTGTATCAGTCAAATCCGATTTGACGGTACACACACAAAATAATAAAATTTTTTAAAAAAATTTAACCCGTAAAATCATCCCTCCATTTTATTTCTTTTTTTAATCCTTTCCTAGAACTAGATGATGTTTCCATTCCAGATCTGTAGCTACAGTCTACACCTTCTCTTCTAAAATCTTCACCGCTGAGAATGAGGACTCTCTTACTTGAATCCTGTCAATTTTCTTTCCCAGGAGAAGATTCTGTGCTGATATGCAGCACTGTTCTGTATCCCAGCCACCTTTGGTAACATTCTGCCATTTCATGTTCACTGGGTTTCAAAGGCAGTCCTGAAGAAATCACCTAT